TTTTAGATGGTAATTAAGTTTGTTGTTTGGTTTGGATGGTTGGTTGGTTAGCAAGATAACTCAAAAAGTTATCAATTTTCACCAGAAGATTGCCTTAACTTAGATGCTATTTAATTTTGGTGGTGATCTGGTTCATGATCCAGGTCCAGGAATTTTCTAAGGGATTGCATCAGTTAATCCTATATATAGGGGTAACTATTATAATCATTAGCTTTATTACCTCTGCCAAGGATGTTGTGTTTATGGACATCACCAGTGTACTTGAGAAAGAGGTGATTTTGATGTAATTCTTCAAGTGTAAATGTTTTTATTGCATCAGCGACCCTATTGCCCTGCCGGAGATATGCACTCTCTGAGTGTTTCTAATTATTGTTATTACTATTGATATTATTATGGAAGATATTTTATTGTTATTAAATTATGATTTTTGTTATCATCATTGTTGTTGTGTGTTTATTGTTGTTGTTGTTGTTGTTATCATCGTCATCGTCATCGTCATCATCATCATCATCATCATCATCATCATCATCATCATCATCATCATCATCATCAATCAATCATATCATCATCATCATCATCATCATCATCATTTCATTGTTGTTGTTGTTGTTGTTGTTGTTGTTGTTGTTGGTAATATTATTGTTATTGTTATTATTGTTGGTTATTATTCTTTAATATTATAATTATCAATATTTATTGTTATTGATATTGTTACGGTTTTGTTGTATATTTTTCATTACTTCTTACTCTAGCTATCTCTATTACTATTGCTAGTATTACAGTTTTTTGTATTTAGATATTTTAACAGCATTATGGAATTATTAATGATGAACTTAAATTATAATTGTTCTTTTATTTTGTTCACAGATGAAGGCCAGCTAGTGTCACCATGACGACCACGGACCGAGGCAAGGTGGTTGATCAGGGGGAGCAGGGGGGAGGCTGTGGGAATGCCAGCAACACCCCCCCCTCGTCAACCGCCTCCTCCAACTCCAACTCGAATTCTTCTACAAATTCCATCCCGCCGAGCGGAGTCCTGGTGCCGGGGGGGCCAAGGGGACCAGATGGCACAGTTATTGAAGAGGTAGGAGGACAGGAGGGAGGGTATAGGAAATTAGGAGTGGAGGGCAGTGGAAGGTGGAGGATAGATAGCAGCAGGGGCTGGTGGTGGAAGGGAGGATGGTGTGGGTGGATGGGCAAGTAGTGGTAGGGTGGCGATAGTGAATTTTTAGGAGTAGTGCACAACTAATTCATGTCTATACAAGCCCTTGCTTTTACATAAGCATACCTTTGCACATATGTTCATGCTTTTTCTGGTTGGTCTCATTCTGTCTCACTCACACTCGCTTTCACTAACATTCCTTCGTACCCACTTGCTCTCTCACTATCACACACTCACACCATTTACTCTCACCCACTCACCCTTACACCCACTCACTCACTCATTTCATTTTACTTGTGTTTTCACATCTTTACATTAACTCATTAACATTCTTTCCATTACATTACATTCTTTACATTAACATTCTTTCATCTACTCTATCACTCCCTCACTTTTCCATTCACTTACTCACTCTTATAATCACTTACTCTTTCATGCTTACTTATACACTTCTATATATATTCACACTCATATAGTCCTCCACACACATGCACACTTTCACACTCATTCTCTCTCTCTCTCTCTCTCTCTCTCTCTCTCTCTCCTCTCTCTCTCTCTCTCTCTCTCTCTCTCTCTCTCTCTCTCTCTCTCTCTCTCTCTCTCTCTCTCTCTCTCCTCTCTCTCTCCCCCCTCTCTCTCTCTCTCCCTCTCTCTCTCTCCTCTCTCTTCTCCCCCTCTCTCTCTCTCTCTCTCTCCCCCCCCCCCCTCTCTCTCTCCCCCCTCTCTCTCCCTTCTCCCTCTCTCCCTCTCCCCTCTCTCCCTCTCCCTCTCTCCTCTCCCCTTCTCTCTCCTCCTCCCCCTCTCTCCCCTCTCTCCCTCTCTCCCTCTCTCTCCCTCTCTCCTCTCTCTCCTTCTCTCCTTCTCTCCTTCTCTCTCTCTTCCTCTCTCTTCTCTCTTCTCTCCTCTCTCCTCTTCTCCTCTCTCTCTCTCTCTCTCCTCTCTCCTCTCTTCTCCTCTCTCTCCTCTCTCTCCTCTCTCTCCTTCTCTCTCTCTTCTCTCTCTTCTCTCTCTCTCTCTCTCTCTCTCTCTCTCTCTCTCTCTCTCTCTCTCTCTCCTCTCTCTCTCTCTCTCCTCTCTCTCTCTCTCTCTCCTCTCTCTCTCCTCTCCCTCTCCCTCTCTCCTCTCTCCCTCTCTCCCTCTCTCCCTCTCTCCCTCTCTCTCTCCTCTCTCTCTCTCCTCTCTCTCTCTCTCTCTCTCTCTCTCTCTCTCTCTCTCTCTCTCTCTCTTCTCTCTCTCTCTCTCTCTCTCTCTCTCTCTCTCTCTCTCTCTCTCTCTCTCTCCCTCTCTCCCTCCTCTCTCTCCTCTCTCTCCCCTCTCTCTCCTCTCTCTCCCTTTCTCTCTCTCCCTTCCTCCCGCTCCCTCTCTCCCTCCCTCTCCCTCTCTCCCTCTCTCTCCTTTTCCTTCTCCCTCTCCCTTTCTCTCTCTCCCTCTCTCCCTCTCTTGTTCATATCAGTATTATCAGACAGTAAGGAATATTTCAGGATCAAACTATTGGTTGAAAAAGTGTTAGCTTGAAAAATGTTAATCCAAAAGGACCATATTCGTAAGGATTCCCTTGTTTGTCTATATGGGAAGCTGTTTTAAGGTATTTGAAATTCTTTACCAGCTTTTTAATGGTTATTGAAGCCGTCTTATCATGTTTATATGGGAAGGCCTTTCAAGGTATTTGAAATCCAATACTAGCTTTTTAATGGTTTGAGTCTAATCCGGTCATGCAAGGAAAGCCACAAGTCAGTCACAGAACTAAACATTTTTAAATTCCTTAAAAATGTTTGGTGCTCTTCAGTAATGCAGACAGATGGAGATGAAAAAACTTCATGTAGCACTATTAGTAATGACAAAAAAAAGATTGTGAAAAGATGTTGACTTTGGTTAGAGTGGTAGTAATATATATATGTTGGTTGTCTTTGTTTGTGGTAGACCCTGTGTAAAAGATGATATACTAGTTTTGATTGTATTTATGATCTCCCTAAATTTGAAGTGAAAATATGCAAGACTTGAAGAGTAAAAGTAGGCGTCATAAAGTATAGGAAAATGATCCCAATATCTGCAGCAGTTATTGTATAATGCCTTGATATTAATGTTTTTTGTTTGTTTTTGTTAACCTTTCCAGGTTATGACTGCAGTTGTTGGTAAAAAGCAGCCAGTAAGAGGACAAGCATTCCGAGCACCTAATGGAGAATATGTTTCCTACCTCTGTACAGATGATACAACTTTGTATCGTCCAGGAGGTAAGTATGTGCAGTGACTAGATTTTCTCAATTGAAAATTCATTTTGTCGCTTAAACATTTATTGTGCTTTATTTTGAAGTTGTAGTTATACTATTATTTGTTTTGATAGATGTTTGCCAATACTATAGATGTTGTAATATTTTTTTGTTATTCAGTTGAGAAATATAGCCTTAAGTAATAATAAAAAACATTTTAATCCAGAGTGAAGTTTTTGCAGATTCGCTGCAAGAGTTTACAGGATATGTTGTTCCCATGATATTCTGTGAATTCTAGAATGTCATGTGGTGTTATGTAGTAGGTATAGAAATTTTTATCCTCCTGCAGAATCTGTATATATAGAGAGCCAGAGAGCTGATCAACCATTTTTCATCTGCTCAATTCAAGAGTTTCGTAGGGTGAGTGAGCCTGAAGTAACTATCCTGCTTCTTTTTTGTTTTGTCAATGTTCCATATACTTGGATATGACATGAAATATGTTTGCATAGCATGTCATCATGATTCCTGCATATTTCAATGAGAAAGTGGCAAATTCTTTATGCCATACTAAGATTTGTAGAATACATAGCATATTGTCTCAGGCAAAATTCCCACTTCTATATAGTCTTGGAAGTGGATAGATAAATCTGTTTTTTGTGAAGTAGGTCTAATTTCTCAATTTTCCGCAGAGTAAAAGAGACACTTTAATGGTTAACATTAAGTGGTTCTACAGACCCTCAGAAGTGCCAGAAACGGTATACCAACGGCTTGTCCAGGATCGCAACACAGAGAACAGTTAGTTATGAAAGTTTATTGTAATGGTATATTGAGTATAGTATGTGGAATGCCAGTACCTTGTTGGAGTTCAAAGAAAAGAAAGTAATCCAAGATTCCAAAATCATGATGTATATCCTTAAGCTTGGTAATATAGTAATTGCAAATTTTGATAGGAGAAGGTTGTAAATTCTCTCCCCAAAACGGACTCTCTATCAAAATGTAAAAAAAAAAACCATAAGTCCCTGCATTTCATGAATAAGAATTTATCACATTTAGCCTTGTTAAGTGAACAGGACTTAAAACAACTTAAATGCCAAAGTTTTCATTTGCAATGAGCAGCAAGCGAGGTGAAACATCAACCTTTTTTGATTTTAAAATTTTAAATAGACACATGGTTGAACTCTTATTTCTCATGCTTAACTTTGGTGGCACTTGATTTGTGAAAATGAGCAACTGTCAACCATTGCTAAATGCCAAGGGTTCCTTTGTTATTTTGAAGTATGAACCCTGGTTTTAGAAAAAGCAGATTTCAAGAAAGTATTCTCTAGGCTTGGAAAACTGGCAAAGGTTGTTTACTCATAAGTCAGACGGATAGGAAAGTGGACAATTATGTGAAATATAAACATTTGATTATATTCTGGATTTAGTTCTTATTGCTTTCCAGTAGCAGTTGTGTGTTTTTGAATAGCATAGTATTAGTTAGATCACCTATTAAAGATTGTATATTCATACTAATTAGGGTAACATTGACAGTGGTAGAATATATTTAGATGTAGATTTGTAAGTATATATATGTAGCTAGCTCGCTAGATAGATAGATAGGTAGATTATTTTATCTACTTATAGATAGATAGATAGATAGATATAGACATAGATATAGATATAGATATATATGTATGTATATATATATATATATATATATATATATATATGTATATGAGATATTTGTATATATTTAGATATTTTTATATTGGAATATCTATCTGTCTATCTATTTATACATTTTTCTATCTAGCCTATAATTAGGTATTAGTTTATATTAGTAGTTTTATATATATTTATTCTTATTTACATGAACAGGTAAACACTTATACAAAAAGGCAAATGCCTATGCAACTGCAAACTTTCCACCCACAACCATCAACCACCAACACCATGCACTGCATACACAAAAACACAAACCACCAACTACACACCTTTACCCATACCCACAGTCACACCTATACACATATACCACAACATCCACATCCATGCACCACAACACACCAAACACAACACCACAACCACAACCACAACACAACAAACCCAACACACCCAACAACCCACACCCACACAACCCACACCCACACCCACACCCAACCCACACCCACACCCACCCAACACCACACTACACCTACACCCTACACCTACACCTACACCTACACTACCTCTACACCCACCTACCACCTACACCTACACCCACTACACCACACTACACCCACACTACACCCACACCTACACCCACCCACACTACACCCACACCGACCTACACCCACACTACACCTACACCCACCCACCTCACACCACACCCACCCTCCATCACACATTCATGTGCATTCGTACAGTCACAATCTCCAATCTACAATCTTGGAAGTGTCTTCAACAGTTTTTTTCTCTCTCTCTCTCCGCAGATAACAAATCTTTAGTCACGGATGATCCTGTAATTAAGTCCCGGGAACTCTTCATCTCTGACGCTACAGACTCGTATCCCGTCTCTGTTTTAAGAGGACTGTGTCGTGTGGACCACTACTCTGACATACATTCCGTGAGAGACTTCAACCCGGAGGAGAATGCCTTTTTCTATATATTAGGGTATGTTTAATTGGAGTCTTGTGATGCATGTTGAAGCCAATAGTTAACATACAGAGGAAAGCTGGATCCTTATTTCTGTTAGCAGTATTGAAACGGAAGGGAGAGTATCCAGATTTTTCTGTTCTTGAGAATAAATAGGAGAAGTGATTAGCTGTAACTAAGCATCCTTGTTTAAAACAGGTATAATCCAGAGACGAGAAGACTGGCATCTACACAGGGAGAAATCCGTGTGGGCCCTTCGCATCAAGCTAAACTTCCTGAATATAGGTTAGTGTTGTATAAATACATAGATAATGATATGAGGCATTGTGGCTTTCTGTGATCATCATGTTATACCTTGCATACTCAGTTGTGGTTAAATAATTGAATTTTAATGGTGGGATGGTCACGTTACCTAGATTCCATGGGTAAACTCTTGAATGAAATATGAAGCATAATTTTTCAAAATGACATAATTGATTAACCTAATGCCAATGGGTGTGGTTATGACTGTTATAGGGAATTTTTGTGTCATCATGGGTACAGCTATAATTGTCATGACTCATTCTGACTTTGATGCCAATGATGTGTATCACAGTCATAGTTGAAAACCTTTATCATGGACTACAATTGAAGATTTTTTTTTTAGATTTTTCAAAATGTATTTATAGATATGTATTATGTATAAGTTTTCTATAAACCCAATCATCAGAGCAAGCTGAAATATCCCAGCATGCATCTTGGCGGCATGTCCTGCGTGTTGCCTACAGTGACTGGTGGGGAAGCTAGACAACCATGTTTCACCCCCTGGCATTGGGTTAAAGCTAAGAAGAAAAATAAGAAATTAATGAATAGATAAAGTATATATAAAAAGATATATGGTAACAGATGTCAGATCATTCATATTTTAGTTTGTTTCCATCTCTGAATGAAAGTGATGAAGCACTGGTTTCTTCAGGAGAGCAATTCCAAATTTCAGAGGAAATGTGATGGTGGAAGAAAGGCCAGAGGTATGTGCTGACTGGGAGGAGCAGCGTTGGGTACCAGGAGCCTCTCGAGATACAGACCTCCTGATGTACTTGAGAGCTGCGAGGTCCATGGCTGCCTTTGCTGGTCTCTGCGATGGAGGCTCAACCAATGATGGCTGCAATGCAGCATCGCGGGACGACACTACTATCAATGCCCTAGAAATGGTTAGTTTGAGTTTGAAAGTCTCCTAAGGACACAGTAGGCTTGAATCTCAGAGTATTTTTAGTAAAGAAACTGTACAGATAAACTATTTAGAAATTCTTGGTAATATTAAAGTTTCTTTGGGTTTTCAGCTTCACAACAGTGACTATGACCATGGTAAAGCACTCCAAGCACTTGTCAAGTGTCCTGTCCCAGATGGCATTGAAAAGAAGTGGTCAGAAGAAGACAGAGTAAGTGCCCTTCTTTTCTTTCAGGTCCATGTGTTTCCCGTAATCTTTAACCACATAAAAACTGCAAATCCTACAGCTTGTCTGTCCCCCTAGCTGTAATCAGAAAAAGATCATAAAATATGTACTTGAGTGTATAAATGTTTAAAGAATATACGTGTACTAGGAGGGGACTCTGTGATGCTTAATGATATTATAAGTGGATAGGAAATGCGGGAGAGGGAAAGGTAGGGGTTTGACTGCAAGAACTATGCCATACAGCACTAGAATTACTACACACTCACTGTTGTCCATTCCCAAGGAGTGTGGTGGCTACAAACAAAGTAGGGTTATTAGGATGAGGAAATGTGACAAACAGTACTGATATTGAGAAAATGCATGAACGAACTCACCAAATTTTTATAGGTTATGCACAGTTATTATGAATGGGATGGACTGCACAGGATGGTGCTGGCCATGACTGGTGAATAGGACATTAGGTGTAAAGCTGACTGTGAATTGTATAATTTCATTGTCATGTATAAGATACATTGAATATGTAGATAAAACCTTTTGGAAAGAAAGTAAGTTTTATTTTTATTATATAAAAACAAAATGCCTGTATTGATATATGTATATCAATAGGAGGATATACCTGGAGATGATAATATATTTGTTGGGTGCTTATGGGAGAAGAAAAAATGAGGGTTAATGATTGGCTAAAGGAGAGGAGGGTGTCCAAAGGGAGTGGGTGTGTGCGGTTGATGTTGTGGGTATGGCTGAAGGGAACATTTCATACAGGTATGCTCTGATGAAGAAGTAAAGCGAAAAGGCCTTCGGCATATTCTTGTGTTTTCTTGTTCTTCCCTTCATTGTTCTTGTTGAACAGTACTGGATACATTTGTATACACTACATGTGTCTTATTCATAATGAAAAAGTTGTGGGAGGAAAATGGCTAGACTGACTGCTGGTATGAGCTTTAGGGATGAATTGAATAATGTTGAAACTAAATGTTACTTGCATGCATGCACAAGTTAGAGCATTCATGTCAATTCTGTCTTTTGTATTTCAGAAACGATTTATGAAGGGTCTTAGACAATATGGCAAGAATTTCTTTAGAATACGGAAAGATTTACTGCCTCACAAGGAAACTGTAAGTACTTAACTTTGCATAATATTCACATTTTAAAGGTATCATAATTTATCAATGGAATTATGCTCAACCTTTCATAGGTAATGCATTTGGGCTGTGGAATTAAATTCTTTTGATTTTAGATACCTTTTTTTAATTTAAGCTTTCAGATTTTCATGTTCCAGGTTCAACTGTCAAGTGTTTATAACAGAAAAGAAGTATAATTAGTAAACAAGAAAGAAATAAAGAGTAAGTTTTCTGTCTGATATCTTTTCAGAGTGATCTTGTTTCCTTTTACTACTTGTGGAAAAAGACACCAGCTGCAGCTGGACACAGGCCACACCGTCGGCACAGAAGGCAAAATGTGCTGAGAAGAATAAGAACTCCTCGTGCTCAGCGAAACACAGGCCCCAGCGACCCCCTTGATCCTTCATCTGCCTCAGAAAAGGATGATGACTCTGACGATTCAGACTCAAAGGACCGTCAGGG